AATATGAATTAACTAAGCTAAAAAATATAACTTTATGTGAAGAAAATATTATGTACAATTTGCAAATAGCTTTGCTTAAAGAAAGTAATAAATAAATAAATTATTATCTGATGTTTTGACTTCGGTGGGTATGGATGGGTAGATAATAACATTATGTATAAATCAAAAAGTTTAACGATCTTTTCTTAGTCGAGGAAAAAAACACTTGAAAATATTACTTAAACGAAATAGCAACGAAAAAAAAAACAAAATTAAAATTATAGCTTAAAACAATTACAAATATCAACAAACCGTTAAAACTATGATGTAGATTTCTAGAAAAAGAAAAACAAAACAAGTTTCAGTCAGTTCCAGCAGCCAGCCACTTTTATTTTCATTGATGCCACTTCTACGAGCGAGCGCATCTTCATTCAACACACCATCAACCTGTTTAACATGCAACATAAAGTAGCATAGCAAATGTATAAACGTTTGTATGAGCCACGAGGATGAATGGCCACAAACGATTACAATTTATGTATTATGATCATTTTGGTTTTGAGAAGGCCAATGAATTTAACAAGATTTAACAAAAAAAAAGAGAATTAAGACATGAAATCTGCAGAAGTAAAAAAGCTTTTAATTGTAGACAAATATCATTAAAAAGTAACCCAAAAAAAACCGTATACATATAGGTCACTAGAGTTCTAGGAATTTGTGTTAAAAATACTCATATAACTGAGAAAAAGAGGCACCATTACCATTACCAAAAACTTGTGGAAAATTTACATTCTAAATATTTGTAATTTCACATTGTTAAAATATTTTATGAAATAAACTTTACAATTAGTATATGATAATTCAGCTTCCTTTCGAAGCCATATACCAAGCGATTTGCGAAATGATCCCAAAAATTATTAAAAATACTTATAAATAATAAACAAAGTTTAAAACCTTTCCAAATTATGCAGATCCGAAATTTCTTGACCCTTGTAAAACATGTGTTTTAAATAAAAATTTATTTAACTAAAAAATCTAATAAAATTAAGGTATGATAAAATAAACATTTGCTAGAAATAATATTTACGTTTATTACAACAAATATTTGTACTATATGAACGTTCACATATGAATGTAAAAGTAGATTTTATTAATATTTTCACAAAGGACTATATTTTAAATACCAATTTGACGTAAAATATTTGACCTAAAACTGCAAAATATTTTTGCGAAAACTTTTAATTACACTTAATATTTATTGAACAATCTTGTCTATTATATGCATAGGTTTCTTATTGGGTTAAAAGTACGAGGGTTGTTTGATTTAGACGACATTGTTAATTCAATATGGTAGTTAATCAGTTAGTTAGTTGTTAGTTAGTTAGTAGTTAGTTAGTTAGTTAGTTAGTTAGCTAGTTAGTTAGTTAGTTAGTTAGTTAGTTAGTTAGTTAGTTAGTTAGTTAGTTAGTTAGTTAGTTAGTTAGTTAGTTAGTTAGTTAGTTAGTTAGTTAGTTAGTTAGTTAGTTAGTAGTAGTTAGTTAGTTAGTTAGTTAGTTAGTTAGTTAGTTAGTTAGTTAGTTAGTTAGTTAGTTAGTTAGTTAGTTAGTTAGTTAGTTAGTTAGTTAGTTAGTTAGTTAGTTAGTTAGTTAGTTAGTTAGTTAGTTAGTTAGTTAGTTAGTTAGTTAGTTAGTTAGTTAGTTAGTTAGTTAGTTAGTTAGTTAGTTAGTTAGTTAGTTAGTTAGTTAGTTAGTTAGTTAGTTAGTTAGTTAGTTAGTTAGTTAGTTAGTTAGTTAGTAGTTAGTTAGTTAGTTAGTTAGTTAGTTAGTTAGTTAGTTAGTTAGTTAGTTAGTTAGTTAGTTAGTTAGTTAGTTAGTTAGTTAGTAGTTAGTTAGTTAGTTAGTTAGTTAGTTAGTAGTTAGTTAGTTAGTTAGTTAGTTAGTTAGTTAGTTAGTTAGTTAGTTAGTTAGTTAGTTAGTTAGTTAGTTAGTTAGTTAGTTAGTAGTTAGTTAGTTAGTTAGTTAGTTAGTTAGTTAGTTAGTTAGTTAGTAGTTAGTTAGTTAGTAGTTAGTTAGTTAGTTAGTTAGTTAGTTAGTTAGTTAGTTAGTTAGTTAGTTAGTTAGTTAGTTAGTTAGTTAGTTAGTTAGTTAGTTAGTTAGTTAGTTAGTTAGTTAGTTAGTTAGTTAGTTAGTTAGTTAGTTAGTTAGTTAGTTAGTTAGTTAGTTAGTTAGTTAGTTAGTTAGTTAGTTAGTTAGTAGTTAGTTAGTTAGTTAGTTAGTTAGTTAGTTAGTTAGTTAGTTAGTTAGTTAGTTAGTTAGTTAGTTAGTTAGTTAGTTAGTTAGTTAGTTAGTTAGTTAGTTAGTTAGTTAGTTAGTTAGTTAGTTAGTTAGTTAGTTAGTTAGTTAGTTAGTTAGTTAGTTAGTTAGTTAGTTAGTTAGTTAGTTAGTTAGTTAGTTAGTTAGTTAGTTAGTTAGTTAGTTAGTTAGTTAGTTAGTTAGTTAGTTAGTTAGTTAGTAGTTAGTTAGTTAGTTAGTTAGTTAGTTAGTTAGTTAGTTAGTTAGTTAGTAGTTAGTTAGTTAGTTAGTTAGTTAGTTAGTTAGTTAGTTAGTTAGTTAGTTAGTTAGTTAGTTAGTTAGTTAGTTAGTTAGTTAGTCAGTTAGTTAGTTAGTCAGTTAGTTATTTAGTTACTTAGTTAGTTAGTTAGTTAGTTAGTTAGTTAGTTAGTTAGTTAGTTAGTTAGTTAGTTAGTTAGTTAGTTAGTTAGTTAGTTAGTTAGTTAGTTAGTTAGTTAGTTAGTTAGTTAGTTAGTTAGTTAGTTAGTTAGTTAGTTAGTTAGTTAGTTAGTTAGTTAGTTAGTTAGTTAGTTAGTTAGTTAGTTAGTTAGTTAGTTAGTTAGTTAGTTAGTTAGTTAGTTAGTTAGTTAGTTAGTTAGTTAGTTAGTTAGTTAGTTAGTTAGTTAGTTAGTTAGTTAGTTAGTTAGTTAGTTAGTTAGTTAGTTAGTTAGTAGTTAGTTAGTTAGTTAGTTAGTTAGTTAGTTAGTTAGTTAGTTAGTTAGTTAGTTAGTTAGTTAGTTAGTTAGTTAGTTAGTTAGTTAGTTAGTTAGTTAGTTAGTTAGTTAGTTAGTTAGTTAGTTAGTTAGTTAGTTAGTTAGTTAGTTAGTTAGTTAGTTAGTTAGTTAGTTAGTTAGTTAGTTAGTTAGTTAGTTAGTTAGTTAGTTAGTTAGTTAGTTAGTTAGTTAGTTAGTTAGTTAGTTAGTTAGTTAGTTAGTTAGTTAGTTAGTTAGTTAGTTAGTTAGTTAGTTAGTTAGTTAGTTAGTTAGTTAGTTAGTTAGTTAGTTAGTTAGTTAGTTAGTTAGTTAGTTAGTTAGTTAGTTAGTTAGTTAGTTAGTTAGTTAGTTAGTTAGTTAGTTAGTTCGTAGTTAGTTAGTTAGTAGTTAGTTAGTTAGTTAGTTAGTTAGTTAGTTAGTAGTTAGTTAGTTAGTTAGTTAGTTAGTTAGTTAGTTAGTTAGTTAGTTAGTTAGTTAGTTAGTTAGTTAGTTAGTTAGTTAGTTAGTTAGTTAGTTAGTTTGTTTGTTTGTTAGTTAGTTTTAGTACTAGTGGCATTACGACAATCATCGCTTTATTTCCTTCAGGGTATTTTTCTTATCGAGTAAATTTTCTGTTCACAAATTTTTATACAGCCCTCGTATTAGATGTACCTACTTCAAGAAAAACATTTAGAATTTTTCTAACTTACTTGTTAGTTAATAATGACCACTGGCCTCATCAAAGTTTAAACAAGTAAAGAGATTTTTTTCAAATAAAATCCCATGGTAATGAAATAAACTAAATACTAAAGGAAATTTGTTTAAGGGTAAATTCCAGTTTAGAAATTAAAAACAAATAAAATGTTTCACTACAAAACCGATCTTGGATTAGTCTTAAAATCGAGTTTCAAACTGTAAATTCGCTAATATGGTTTCTGTTGCATAATTACAAAGAAAGCGGAGAAATGGAGTCACAGTCGATGTATAATTGTTTCTCGGCCTTTTTGAATTAAACTTTTGGAAGTATATTTTTTCACTATAAAAAACGGATGAGATTCCTCAAATTCAACAAAAGTTCTTTTAATTTGGACTTAAGGCAATAAAAATACATTTGAATTATTCACTTAAACTAAACTTGTTTACTGCTTCTAATCGATTTTTGAACAATGTACCTTTTTTTTGCTGCAATAAAAAACAAGTAAAGTGGAAAGGAAGCTGTAAAGACTTTACCAAGACTTCAGTAAATTGGCCACAAACTCAGTCAGTCCAACATTAGATGCATTAAAGTGAACAACAAACAAACAACACATGCAAAATAAACAAAATTTAACAATTAATAAAAACGCACCAAAAAAAAAAGAGAAACAAAAATATAAAATAAAATATAATATAATAAAGATATAAAATAATACCAGGAGATTAAAAGATGTGGTGTTTTAATAAAATTATGTTTAAACTAAAATAAAAGAAATTTCATTTGGAAAATTTTAAATACTAAAAAAATTTAAATAAAAATGGGATAAAAGAAAAGTAAAAGTTTTTTTGAAAATCTTACTTAAAAAAGCTTAACAAATGTTAGTTTTATTTATCAAGATATATGATTAGATTATTAACAATTTGTAATGCTTCGATAAATATCGAAATTTATGTGGAATATTCGACAGAAAGCCTTCGTTCGTGTGTTAAATATGTGTGTAATACATACGTTTGTGACATTTTGTCACTGAACCATTAAAATTTGTTTTCTTTGTGACCTAAAGAAAATTGAGGCGGTATTTTACATTTAACAAACTTCAAACTAAAGTAAAATTTCACTTGAATTTTACAAAATCACTTGACGAGAACAACTTGAACTAAACGGTTGTGTGTGAAAAGAAACGTTTAAACGGAAATTTAAAATTCTACTTGAACAAAAAAAGATTTAACAAAGGAAAAGGAAGTGTTTTAAAGAAATTTTCCAATTGTAAATGAATTTAAATTAAAGTGTGAATGTGTGAAAATGTGTTGGTTTTTTATTGTTATAAGATTGTTAATATTAAAAATATTACTAGCCGGTTTAACGGATCTTACCACGGCTTCGCGTTACGATTATGGTTATCATCCTAGTGCCGAGGAGTTTGATAATCTGTTACGTGAAACGCGTCGTACTTGGACTCATACATTTCTAAAAGCCGAAAGAGATCGTCTCTTAACGAGTCCTACGCCACGCCCTTATATAGCGGTAGAAAATCGGGCAAAAACTGAAAGCAGAAGACATTTTGTGCCAAAATTTCAATATGATAATGAAAAGAAATTTAATCAATTTATACAAAATCCTTTGCCAAACAAACAACAATACGATTTACAGCAGGCATCGTCCCAGAAACATCCGATGCCTTTGCAAAATATTGGTTCTTCTTTGGATTTTAATTATTTTAGCGATGAAGTAGCACAATCTGCCTTTAATACACCCCAGTCAATACAACATTCCCTAATAAGGCAACCGCCAGTACCTACCACCACTACAAAATCTATTATGGATATTAAACCGTTTACTTCAGCTTTGCCCGAAATAAATTTGAAACCTATAGCCAAACCGGATATTTTTAATTCTAACAAATATTCTTTAAATAATCTGTATAGAAACAATAGTCAAGGACATTTTCCTATATATTTCACCAACCCCGCCACTGGCATAGTTTATGCCATAACCGAGGTGGGCAAGTCTACAGAAAATGTTACCAGAACTAATGGCACCATACCTATATTCATAACTAAAGAACAATATGAACGAGATATATTCCAGCTGAAAAATGAATATGAACAAAAATGTCAAAACTTTCAACACAGCACTACAACCAGACCACAAATCATAAAAATACAAAAATCACCTACTTCCATACTTACAACGAAATTTTCTCCTCCTACTTCTGCCAGCGCCACCAATCCTTTAAAGAAACCCTCTCCGGTGGTGATAAAGACCCAATTAACTGTCAAAGACAAGAAATCAACTACTGTTAGACCTTTAAGAAAGAAGAAAAAGAAAACAAAACTTAAGCGTAAAATCAAAAAACAAAATCCTCCGGGACGTAAAACTGTGGCCACAACAATCAGACCTATTTCACCCAATCATCCTCAAGGTCCGGCAATTATAATGGGTTCTAGAACCACAACTAGGAAGCCTTTAACCAATAATGATAAACTACCCACCCAATTGGAAAAACCAAATTTTGATAATATATTTTCCAGTGCTGTCTCGCCACAGACAGCAAGTCTTCCAGCAGGATCATTGAATCCAAATTTATTTATTAATAATCACAGAGTTAATAAAAGATCTGCTAAGGAAGAATTGAGAAGTTTTGAATTCAAGGAACTCATTTTGAAAGATCAGAAAGAACAAATGGATACGCAGTTAAAACCACCAACATTAGCCACGAAATCTACAAACAAATCCTTGACCATGACTGATCTCTTGGTAAAAGAACAAGAGATTAACAATTCGGAAAATCATAAGTCGGAGAAAACTCTGGATAACCCAGACGTTAAAGCAAGAGACCAAGTGTCAAATAAACTATCGAATGAAACTCAAAGTGAAGTTAATCTTAAAATTATAAAGAGTCCAACGAATTTTCAAAGGACTACAATTAACCCAATTGTGGAAAATCCCTCAAAAAACTTTAATAAATTTAAAAAATTTTTAAAAAATTATTTTAATATTTTTAGTACAAAAAAATTAGAAAAAAATTTTAATAGCTCTACTTTCAAAAATGTTTCAAAAACTCAACATAACTCTACAAAAACCATAGAAATTTTATCAAGGAACTCAAATAATGCAGATTTTAAAGCGGGAAACTTGAAAAGTGATTTTCAGACGCCAGTTTTTAAAACCTCTTTAAAAACTTCTAGTGATTTAAATAACACAAAACTTTTTCAAAATTTAACTAAGAAAAATCTAAAAAACTTAAAAATTCAACAAAATAATTTACAAAATTCATTAGTTAATAAAACTTTGGATACTAAACATCGTATAAATAAAAGATCTGCTGCAGATTTAAAAGTAAATAATTATATTTTACCAAAATTTATTAAAAAATCAACCAATAATGAAACGGAAACAAATAATACAATAACGAATTCGGAACAGGAAAGGAGTTTAAAATTGAATGCAAAACATACAAATATTAATTTGAAATCAGTAAATAAATCCAAAGTTAATATCACCGATAATGGCAAAAGATCTTTAAAACGTGTTAAACATTTGAAAAAACGTAAAAGATTATCAAAAATTAAAATAAATAAAAATTTTAAATTAAAACAAAACTCTACGCAAACAAACAATATTCCCAACTTAACCACTACCCCCCAGAACTGTAAAGCAGGGTACCAGAGCCCCCAACCAGAAAAACAAAAAGCTGGAGAAAAAATCGAAACGACAACATGATACAGAATACTATTTTTTTGGTATAGGTGAAAATTACGATGATGACGAAGAAGAGGAGGATGAAGACGAGGATGATGATGACGGTGATGATTACGAAGATGATGAAGAGGAGGAAGATGATAAAGATAATGGTGAAATTTTGGCCTATGATTATGAAGAAGTTGGGGTGCCGCACACCAGTGAGGTGAGTTTATCATTAGAGGATTTAAGTGAGAAACCTACACAAGAAACCAGCAGTTCCCCGGAAGAGGAGGCTGATATAGGTGCCTTGGAAATAGAGCGTGTGGATATTAAAACTCCTGTTTTAGATTATGATAACACGGGCCCACTTAGTTTAAAAACCAAATCTGCATATATCAAAAAACGCATACGCCGCAGACCGCCACAATTTAAAATCGATGATGACTATGAGGACGATGATGATGAAAATAGTATGTCGGCTAATTTGGGAGGATTTTTACGCATGATTTTCTATCCCATACAAGTAGTAATGACCAGTGTTATGGACTCGATTGGGGGCAAAAATGCGGACGAAGAAGAAGATGATCCCGCTTTCAATCCCTATACACAATATACTTCCTATCATAATACTCTAAAACAACATTCTAGTGATGAATATGATGAAGATTATGATTCTAATGAATCTGCTGGTTCTTCTTTGGGTAGCTGGCTTAGTTCTTGGTTTGGTTTAAATCGTCGTAATAAGAAAATTGGCAGTACCACAGTGGCACCCATTAAAGTGAAACCTACAAAATCGTCTACTAGTTGGTTGCCATCATGGTTGGGTTTTGGTGCAAACGATAGAGTTTCCACGGAAGCAGCTTCTAACGAAGACTATGATGAATATGATAGTAAGTTGATTTTTAAATTTCTAAACAGATTAACTATAAAAGGAAGTATAATTAAAATAAATTATATCTTTAGTGATCTTTTTGAACTATAAAAACACAATTAAATTTAATAATAACAATTATAATTGTAGTCAGGAAACTGGTATGACAAAAGATCAATAGAAAATTGCAACGAATAGCAAGTGCATTTTAAAAAGTCATACTTAAATATTTTCCTTTTTTGTTTTTGGTTGTTGGGAACAAGACAGTTGCTCCTTCGATCCAAAAAATTCTTTACAATTTTTGATAGAAATCACTTGGACTTAATAATAAAAAAATAAAAATAGTTTAAATAATTGTGTTAATGCATACTTGATCGATTTATAAGTTTGTGTAGCGGAACTGTTTCATTTAGGCCTTAGTCTATATAGAATTTATTGCAAATATTTCAAATACTTCATTAAGCAAAAAATTTTTCATAAATTGCTTTTACTATAAATAGAGCAAAAGAAAACAATAGCATTTTCTAGTTACTTATACTTTCAATACGATTCCAATCCAAAGACCAAATCAAATTACACACATCCTAACAGATCTCGACATCATACTAACTACATAAAGATTCCAGCCAACATGTGTTTAATTTGGGTCGTGATTAACTTGTAAACTTGTCATAATAACTGAAATCATAAAGCCAGTCTTAGGTGAACACACTTAATGAAATAGGTCACGTTTTTTATAGCTGCTGATTGTTAACTTCACTTTTATTTTACGTCAATAACTGATATTTAGACGTTCTTGTGTGTTAATTGAATAATAAAACATACTCTTTCATATTCAAAGACCCGTAATATAAATCGATTAACACAAACCATTGTTTGCGGCAAATAAAAGTTAAGAAGAAATGTGATAGAAATATAATTAGGTGCGAATTAAATTTATAAGATTATTTAATTTATTGATAATGTCAAATTGTGAGAGATTTTTAAGTTAATTATCGTTTTTCAATTAAAAATGGAAGATTGAATGAGATATCGGCGAAGAGCTTTGCCTTGAGTCCTTGTTTTAGTACCCATATAAGGGTTACTTCCGAAAATTTATAGAACGAGCATAATTCATTAACTAATCACCATATCGGTACAAAATTCAACACGAATATGTTTTGTACATACATATCGTCACCTAAAACGCAAACGGCCATATCTAACATTTTTAAAATTTTACAGGAGAAGCAAAAAACTATTTAAATTGAAAAGTTTGTTTCTATCAACGCGATTTAATAGTGAAACCTATCAGTTGTTATGATAGTTGACAATGGCGTATATAAAAATTTATAAATTGGACTTTTTACCTTTAGTGTTTAAATGTTTTTGTAGATAAGGCCTTTTGTTTTTTGTCAATAAAATCGGAGGAGTCCAATTTTTTGTGTGGACATTTGTTTTGATGCAATACCTTATAATCAACAATAAAATCGATTTTGAATTTTTGGTTAGTTAGGGCCGTTTGCGTTTCAGGTGACGATTTATAAATTATTCGTATAATTTTTTGCCGATCGGGTCATAATTGTTCATAGCTCCCACAAAACTCGTGAATTAAAATTGATGTCGGGATAAAATTTGTCATTCTGTATTTTTTTTTTTCAAATCAGCCCATTTATATTTATAAACAAACCATTTCATCCGGATCAGATCATAATTTCCGAACTTTCAGTAGGAAATAGGTATATATGTATGTAGGTAAATAATGTCGCGTTCTTATAAGGCTTCAAGTATGGCCAAATACCGCGAAAACCTGATGTGATGGTCATATTCTTAGGCAGATTAGCTCATATTAATTCTTTGGTCTCTGGGTTAAAAATTTGATGTTATTTGCACTTTATGGTTTACATATAACAGATTTAAAATATTTCTCTCAAAGAGTTTGGCGAGAAATATGACTGATCACAAATTACTTCTTTATATAAACAATTGTCATTCAAAGAAAATTACATCAAATAAACAAAGTGTAAATCCGTTAGTAGATTTAAGTAAATTAATTTAAATTATTTACCACTTTCATACTTGCTTCTATCACTCTGTCTGTCCGCCAATTCAACAGTGACACATTAAACCATAAAACAAACCAACCAGTTCATAGAACATAATTTTTTTTGCAAGTAATAAAACAGACAAGCGAACAGACGGACTTACAGACAAGAGAACCTATAACGGATGAATGTTATACATATTCTATGGATGGAGGTTAAGAAAAAGGTTACGCTTTCTTTGTTTAAATAAACGTTTAGTATTTTACTTATTTCAAATTCAATTATAGTTAGTTACTTGTGTACAACTTGTGTAAAACAGATTTCATATAATGTTGTCATTGATTTTCATTTTAATAAAACTAGAATGGTTTGCCAGTTGGTTTGGTGAAACGAAACCAAAAGCCAGAAAAAGAACTACAACAACAACTTCAACTACCACCCAGATACCACATGTACCCATATTAACCATTGTGGATCCAATGAAAAATCCTCAAAATTGGATTGGTATATTGGCACATCATATTATCAATCATACCTCCACATCCACAGCGAATCCTTTAAAAGATATTTGGAATCAAGTCACCAGTACAACGACGGAAAATCCTGAAATACCACGAAAAATTTCATATGATAAATATCAGATATGGAGACTCAAACCACAAGATGATAGCCAAGTGAAGGCTTTGGAGGAATATAAGAAAAGTGAGGATGGCATAAAGCTACAATGGCTAAAGGGGCCCAGTTTAAGGTAAGAATTTTATATTATTATTTTAATAGATTTAATTTTAATACTCTTCCCATATTTCTAGAGGTTTAACTGATGTCTTGGTGCCACCTAAAATGTTGGTGGATTTTCAAGCTTCTCTTACATTTGAACTTATCGATCATGAGGTCTTGATATTCGACGTGGGCAAAGCTATAGCTTATGAAAAGACCAAAGAAGATTATTTCTTTACTACCACCCAAAAGCCTAAAAAACATCTTAGTAAAACTCCCACCATCTCCGGCATGACTTGGCATAAGTATTACGAATACGATGATATTATAAAATTTCTGGAAACCATGCGCATGCGTTTTCCCCATTTAGTGGAACTTATACATATTGGTCGTTCTTATGAGGGTAGACCTTTGATTGTAATGAAAATCGAAAGTAAAGAGGCGGCCGCTGTAAATACGGCGCATTATCCGGCACATCAACGTAATAAGTTAAGGCATAAGAAACGTATCGGTTTGGCAAATGCTGTTTTCATAGAAGCTGGTACACATGGCATGGAATGGATTGGTCCAGCAACTGCTACTTGGATTATTAACGAGCTGTTGAGGATTATGAAAAGTAAGTAATAGTTATATTTTATAAAGTCAATACTTGGGGCAGTCTAGTCTATAGTCTCGTCTATAGTCTATTATATAGTATAGTCTATAGTCTATTATATAGTCTAGTCTAGTCGATAGTGTGGTCTATATACTAGTCCAGTCTAATCTATGGTGTAGTATACAGTCTAGTCTAATATATGGTGTTATCTATAGTCTAGTCTATAGTATAGTCTATAGTCTAGTCTATAGGCTAGTCGATAGTGTAGTTTATATTCTAGTCCAGTCTAATCTATGGTGGTGTCTATAGTCTAGTATATAGTCTAGTCTATATTATAGTCTATAGTCTAGTTTGTAATCTAGGTACATTCTAGTCCATAGTCTAGTCTATAGTGTAGTCTATGGTACAGTCTATAATATTGTCTATAGTCTAGTCCATAGTCTAGACTATAATCTAATAAAAATTCTCAGGAAAATAATCTCATCTTTTTTTACCTGTTCAACTCCAAAATTTGACGTTCAAAGTTTCATCGACTTACACCTCTGTTGTTGGCTAGATCAATTTTAAAATATTCCAGTTCCAGAATAATGACATTTTATGTTTTAAATTTTACGAATGTTTAGTTTATTTTCAGTATATAATCACTGTTAAATTTCGAATTTACTTAGGAATGTGCGTTTCTACTAGAACCTGATATAGTATTGTAGAGTCCAGTTAAAAATTCAATAAGATTTGTAAAGGATGGTGGCGTTTTCATTTCAGTTGGAACGGCATATAGTCTATACTTCTTGTACATTTCACGGGCCTCGTCATCACTTAAAATGGACCGAGTTACCTGCTTCATTTGTTTAGCACATAAATCACACAGAGAAGGATTTTGTTTCTTAGTTAAACTGGAGTTCTCACTTCTGTTTCCATCGCACTTATCACATCTGTTGTTATTACTTTTAATATTATTTTGAGTTTTATCTATATTATTTAAAGTACAAAGACTTTCTTTAGACCCCCGAGTAGAACCTTTAGAATTTTGCAAATTAAAATGAGAACATTTCTTTCGTTGGCAAGATTTGCAATGGGGGCATTTTGGAAGTGGATTGGTGTTAGTAGTGTTATGGTTTGAAGCGGGATCGGAAGTTTTCTTTATGTTGTGATTTGTTTGGTATCGATGATGTCTGCCCTTAACAGCATGAAATGTAATGCTGACACAAAGTAATAGCAATAATATCAAAGTTGTTAATTGAGCTCTCCTAGAAATTTTGTATATGTAAATCTATTTATTTATTCTGAGAAGAAAAGTATGAAGGAAGTACCTTCCCCACTGCAAGATTAAGTTCACAAAATCCCTTAAATATTGGCTAATAGTAATCCAAAACATGAATGTGGTCATTATGAAAAAACTGTAAATATGTTTGGAAAGAAATCAAAATTTCAAAACATGTTCTCATAACCCAAATGTATCAATACTTACGAAATAATTCCCACTATATCAAATAGCACAGAATTCAGATCTGAGGGTGTAAATCGAAATGTTGGTAATTTGAAGTTTCGTATTTGTAAAAGGTTTTCTTTAAAAATCTTTGTAGGAATATTTGAAGTCCCTGCAGTTAAAGTTTTAGCATTAGGATCAGCATCTTTGAGAGTTACATCATTTGAGCTTCTAAAACATTTTCTAATTTCCTCTTGATCTGGTTTTCCCTCCGATCTGAGTTTTTTGCATTTTTCACAATTACAGGGTGGAAACTCACATAATTTACACTGAAGTGTAGCCGGGAAAGCACAGGAATTTTGCATATTAAGAAAAAAATATGAAAAAATTTAAATTTAATAAAAATAATAGACCAAGGTATAGACTTTTTGTTTTAATTTCGAATTTGTTTTAAATTTCATTTTTCAAAACGTAACAAATTTCCTTTTTTCAGAAAATATTACCGACGACCAGAGTTTCATACGCAACACTACCTGGTATATTATGCCAGTTTTGAATCCCGACGGTTATGTTTACAGTCATGAATATGATCGTTTTTGGAAGAAATCCAGATCACGCCATATTTCTCGTCCTTCGGGTATTTTAAATTCAGCCATGACTTGGTTGCAAAAGAAACGAACGAAAGAGAAGGTTTGTTTTGGCGTTGATTTAGATCGCAATTGGCATTATCAATGGGGTAAACGTGGCAGCTCAAAGACGCCTTGTAATGAATTCTATGCTGGGCCTACACCATTTTCAGAACCGGAAACAAAAGCTTTATCGGAATTTTTAATGGATTATCGAACACAAATTAAGGTAAGTTCTTTAATTTCTACATTGAGAAAAAGTCATTCCAATAAAAAACGGAAAGCTTTGAAAGGAAATGGAATTGTTTCGACTTTCCATTTTTTTGTTGAAATACTTTTTTCAATCGTTGTATAACTGAATGTGGAATCGTAATCGAACACATTTTTTATTCGTAAACATTTTTTGAAATTTTTTAATAATTGCCTTTTCTTTTTAGCTTTTCGTTTCTATGCAGGCTTATGGTCAAATTATAAGTTATCCCTATAAGGCCAATACCACCTACGATTCTGAGCGTTTAGATGATCTATTGGATGTTGCCATGGTGGGCACCGATGGTTTGCGTAAAAAGGGCAGTAAATCAAGATATAAAATAGATTCTTCTAATGACTTAATAGAAAATAGATCGGGTAAGTTTTGAAAATTTAGTACAATTCAACAAAAATAACTGTAACTCGTTCATTTGTTGTTATATTAAGGCTGTTCGGATGCTTTTGCCGCCTACGAAGCGGGCATACCCTTTAGTTATACTTTACAGTTGGCTGACAATGGAGTGCATGGTTACTTGCTGCCTAGTGCTTCAATAGAATCAACAGCTAAAGACTCGTTTGAAATTATTACAGGAATGTTGGACTATATATGATAGTTGGGGAAAATTTTTTAGGTATTAATGTTCTTTGTATATTTATTTAGTTTTTTTGGTCTCATTTTCGAATTGTTTTTTATCTAATTTTTTTAAATTTTAGAAACTTGTAAAATAATTTAATTTAATACAAAATTCGTGAAAAATTGTCACTTGAAATATGTTCTCTTTTCCCTTTATTTCTTCGAGTAAAAAATTTTCCAAAAAGAAGAATTTTGTTATCAACAAAATAAACTATTCTAAAAACTATATTCCAAAAACTATTCATTCGAATAATATTCGTGATCGAAATTTTTTTCGTTTAAATATAAAAGTGTCACCTTATAAAGCATTGGTATCGTTTAAAAGAAAGAGGGGTTACTTCGCATTTCGTTTGAAACGAATGAAGTAAATTTATTCTCGAGAGGGATGATTAAGAAATTTGATTCAAAATAAAAATCTATGAAAAAACTTGACGAATTTGTTATGAATAATGACGAGCAAAAGTGGACGTGTTCCTGCATATTTCTGCATTTCGATTACGTTTCCACATGATCGAAAATTGGTATTCCAACAAAAAACGGAATCGTACGAAAAAGAAGAAGCAATACCATTTTATTTCAATGCTTTACGATTGTGTGTATTTTGCGTTACGATCGTAACTACGTTTTTGTAAGTTGTTATTTTAGTGACGGAGCTTTGAAATGCAGAATACCAAAGTTGCCAAACGGAGAAAATTTCGATTCGAATTGAAATGGAGAATAGTAGTGATTAATTCACAATAGTTGATTTTGTACGTAAATTACCAAAAGAGGGTATGTTTTTCGATGCGCATAAAATCGCAATTTAATCATCAGATGCAGGGCACAGATGTATTTCCGAACAGAACATACTTTGGTTTTCGAATCGGGATCATTTTAAAGTGCTCCAGATGAAAATTTTGCTATACGATTTTCGATGGTTTTAGAGCCAGGCGAAAATAAGGGGATCAAATCGGCGCTATATCGAAATGTGCTGGATTTTTTTTTCGTTCGATATCGAATACCATAATCTCAAAAAAGAAACATTTTGATAAATTTTACTCGATCACAAATGATGGGATTGGCTCTCTATTCTTTAGCTTAATTTTATTCCATTTTTTTATTCACACTGCCCAGCAGTTCGACAAAGAGTCAATGCATCCGAAAATGACAGAAATTTCCACTAACGTTTAACCAACTGGTTGGCTCGTATTCGTATTTCTTTTTGAATGTACTCTTTGTAAACAGAGTGAAGACAGTCGTCACTTTGTAAGCGAGATCGTAGGCAGTCATCACTTTACTGCACCCAAGTAAACTAGTGTTTAGACACACATAAAAAAACTTTCGAAAATGTTCTCTAAAATATGAATCGACGATTGACTTCGTTCTGGGACAAGTACAAGTTGAAATAGCTAATCACCTGGATAGTCAGATGCCTAGAGGGGAAACCCAAGTATTAGGTTAAATAGCTTCTTCAGGAGTGTCTTCCTAAATTATTCGTTTCAAGTTTAAATCCTACTAATTTTAATTACATTTATACAACAATTAATTTTAATATTTATTGAAAACAAAAACTAATATTTAAGCCTTTTTTTATATTATAATTTAAGTTATTTATTTCTATTACTTAAAAGCACCACATTCATTATACATCAATAAAGAAAGGAGGGATTTTGATTTCTATTGTTTGTTAACAAAATAATAAAGAAATTGCAACTTGTTTAATTATTTTTCTCTAGAAAAATTAAAACAAGATTATTAAAAATATAAGAGTAGTAATTGTTATAAAAATAAAAAAAAATTCTTGAATAAATCAACTAAAAACTATAGGAAGCAGGATTTGTTTTAAATAAACCAATAAAAGAAAAAAAAAACGAAAACAAGAAAAAATTTAATTTAAAGGTTTCTATTGAATTGGATTTTTTGATTTTTTTTTTTGTTGTTGGTTTCTTTTACGATAGATTTTGTAGTTTTTGTTTAATTTTATATAATAATATAATAGTTATAACACTCACTTCTTATTTATATTATTTTTTTTTTTTTTGTTTTGTTTTTTTATGTTAATAATATAATAAAATTAGTATATAATGTAATAATGTGCTTACTTACAATGCTATTAAATTATTTATGTTTTTATTTATTAATGTTGTATGTTTTTTCCTTTTTTTGCGTACTTTTTTTTGTTGTTTTTGTTTTTTATCTACAAGGTGTAAAAAACTAAGATTATATTAATTAATTAATATATTTATTTATATATTATATATAAATTGTAAGAATAATAATAAAAATAAAAAACTAACTATAAAGAAAAAAATATATTTATAAATTTTTTTAAATCTTTTTTTGTAAAGAAATAAAATAAAATTAAAATTAACTGCTTTAAAAAAGCAAAAAAAAAAGGAAAATAATCTACAAAAGAAAAATCCAACAGTTTTAGTTAACTGTGTGTATAAGGTAGAGTAAATTATTATAGAGCAATTATTAATAAAATTTGTTATATGTTTTTCTAAACACAAATTCTTTTTAAAATCATAAATAGTTTTTCAATTTCTTGGAGAGTAAAGTCAATGCCAGGCATTTAACAAGAAAAAAAAAATAGGTTAAAAAACATTTATTAAGTTAAATTTGTAAATAAAAATTAGTAAAGAAAATGCTCAACAGTTTTTAGTTTTTGTTTTTTAGTGCGAGGGAGTAAGATCGATCCTAGACAGTAATTTTGTTAATGAGTGTAAAGGAAAATGAATAGCGTGGTTTAATTTAGTGTGTCTCTTTTTTTAGTATTTATTTAAATAATTTCTTTTTGTTTTGTTATTTTTATAATTTTTGTTTTATTTATTATTTATTTTTGTTTTACTTTTTGTTATTATAATTACGGTTTTAAATATTACTATACTTATTCATTTCTATTTATTTTTTCTTTCTTTTTTTTTTGCATATTTTCCTTTTTTTCTTTCTTGCAGTTACTTTTATTTGTGTTACTATTTCCATTTCTATTTCCTTTTTTTATTAAAAAATTTTTTGCTGAATTGAATGCAGTTTTTTTAATGTAAATGGTTCTTTTTTTCTTTTATCTATTGTATTGTATTTATTTTATTACCTCAAAACATTATATGGGGCACATTGCATTTAGCATTTCTTTTTTTGTTTCATTATTTTACTTTTTGTTTAAACAGAATCTCTCTATTATTACGCCTTAGATTGCTCTAAAAGTAATTGGCTAAAGATCATCGGACATGAATGAATTTTGTGATTTTGATTCTTCTATTCGACGTATTTGTTGGCGCAAATACATGATCCTAAAATAATAAAGATGAGGGGAAGTTAATTAAAAGGTAAATTTAAAAGGTGTAGGAGAGGGCGTGGGGAAAAAACTTACTTTTGTTCTTGCAGTGTGGCTGTTATTTCAGTTATTCTAACTAAACTCCTCGCACATTTCAATTCAGCCGACACTTTTGTACACTGTAAATCTCCATATAAATGTGCTTCTTCTGAACATTTTTGCGTCTGAAATAAGAATGTTAAAAAATGATTGTCATTTTAAAAAATTTAATAACTTCGATATAAAAAACACTTCAGTGAATATTTCTATGAATCATGTTCGTCAAGCTGTTATACCTTATTAAAGTCACTAGATACATCACTTTAGACATCAATATACATAACAGAAAAGTACTGATTCAAAATTCGGTTACGAGTGTTGACTAATACAAACTAACAAATAAAATTTATTAAAAGCTTTTAGGAAAGCTACAAACTTTGATCAATTTTTAGATAGACAATAGTCTATCTCGGATTATACTCTAGTTTATAATCTAATCCAGAGTGTAGTTTATAGTCTAGTTAATATTCTGGACTACAGTCTATAGTCTCGACTAGTCTAAAGCCTAGTCCAGATTATGTACGAGACTATAGTCTATATAGGCTAGTCTATAGTCTGGACTGGTCCATATTCTTGATTAAGAGTCTATTCTATAGTCTGTACTATAGCCTAGTTTATATACTACACTATGGTCTGAACTTTAACATCTCTAAATCATTTATCTTACCTGTTTTTCTAATTGATCTGCTGCCCAATTGGTAACGTGTGTTATTAAATCGGCTCTAAAATACTTGCTAAGTTTTGTAGAGATTTCGGGACCTTGCGAGCGACCAGCTTGTATTGAATTGGAAACACAACTTTGTAGCGTACTTAAAGAAGCCGACGATGTACCATCCACTAAAGAATGGAAATAAAATATTAAATAATTTCATAAGTGGATAAAAAGTCAATAGTTACTTACATTTTCTTTGTTGTTGTTCTAATGATGAATTACCACTTAAATCTAATTCCTGTGTAGGAGTCGGTGGGCCCTCACCGGGTATTACTCCCATGCTACTGCTGCTGCCGCCAACGCTACTACCGCTACCAATTGCACCGCTTATATTAATATTGGGAGTAACAGATAAACTCGATGAGGAACATAAAGCATTGTTGCCACCAACACTAACAATTCCCCCAGCAGCATTGAGAGAATTAATGCCAACATTGCTATTGACGCCACCATCGACAGTCTTAAGTCCATAGGGATTAGTGCAGGAATATGAGGAGACCATATTAACACTACCTCCACTGCCCACATTATTTGCATGTGTCATAGTCATAGAAACAGCACCGCTACTGCTACCCGGGGCAGACGATGTTATGGGACTTTTACTATAACCCATGGGAGACATGCCATGAGAATGCGTTAAATTGTATAAAGGTGAATTCAAAGCATTTTCCCTGTTTTTTAAGAAATAGTTAAAGCTTTGGGACATATTATTAGAAAGAATTAAGAAACTCGTACCTTAAATTCATAACCTGTCCAGCGGCAGCATGATTATCACCAGCTGACGAGGAAATGAGATGACCATCTTGTGTATTTAAATGATGATGATGCTGTTGTTGGCGCATTAAATGTGTAGGATCTTTAGAACTCATTTTTGGGGGACCAGGTGCATTTGAATTGAGATGATGATCCCCTTGATTCGATGACGATGGTATAGTGGACTAAAGAACAACGAAGTGCAATTATTTAAATTAAAAAATCTTTTTAAATTAATATTAACTTACATTGGGCGATCCTATCATGTGTGATTGATGTTGTAACGACGTTACCGCATCTAATTTTCTATGATTACTGCTGCCGCTGTTGGGCAAAACACCTTGTGTTGATACCGCTGGCATATTCGACGAAGCAAGACCAGTTGTGGGCAACATCGTTGCACCACCGGCAACAACTCCTGAACCACCTACGGCACTAGCGGCGGGATTAGCACACGTCACGGCATAGTGCATAGATGATGACGCTACACTTGGTGTTGTGGCATTGACAGAGGAAGAGGTCATATTACTAGAGGCATTGGGATGTGAAGCTAAGCGTGGCAACGCATTAGGCAAACCCACTGTTGTTGACGGCAATGCTTGGTCGTTGTGTTGATTGCCACCGCCATGGGTTGTTGGTGTGCCAGTCAGTGAATAACTGGCCTCAGATGTGGGCGTAGAATCGCCTGGACTAATGTCCATATCGGCATTATCAGCTAAGCGAGCTGTTATAGAGAAAAAATAATTGCATTTGGTTATGAAATCTTGGAAAGTAGTAGTTACTTTAAACTTACCATCTATACGCCTTCTGTGATTTGGTGGTCCGCTATCATTATCATAGTTCCACCTCAGTCGAGAATTGCCACGAGAACTGGAATGTTTGTATGCTTAAAGCGTAAAGAAAATCAAATATTTATGGTCATTTTATGGCAAATGTGTTTTTGTAGAAATCTGTAGAAATCCTTACTTGATCTGGAAAAGCGTTCTTCGCGATCTCTATCGCGTTCTTTGTCACGATAATCCTTTTCACGGTGTTGATCACGCGCCAGATTACTATAAAATGTAAATGTTATTTATAAAGAAAACAATACTTATATTGCAAAAATCTATGGTTTATTACAATAACAATTGTGAACATTTTGAAAAAAATTTCTTGTTATGAGAAATTTGTTTTCTTTTTTGTAACATCAGTGTAAGTTTTTTATGGATTTATTGTTTTAACATAGTGGCAAATTGATGTATAACTTTACTATTTCTGTATATTCGTTATTCTTTGCGGTTGATTGCGCAATTCATTAAACATTTTGATAGATTTTTAATCGAAAATTTCCGTGACATACAGCATATAAATTAAAATAGAAAGATATTCACGGAATTCAAACACTTATTTGCCAGATGGTAATTTAAATTAAATTGAACAAATTTCCCTTAAATTTTACTTTTAATAATATCTAAATATACTGAAAACATTTCATAAACTTACCGCTCACGTTCAACCCATTCCTTTGGTTTCTCCCACTGTGAGACTTCTGTTTTACAATTATAATAATACATTTTTCCTAAAACAACAATAACAACACATCTTATTAAAGCATAATTGTAAAAGATAATAAAATAATTTTCTACATACCCGATGAACTAACATGTTCACTCCAATCACCACATCTGGCAATACGTTCACCACGATCATTACGTTCGCCACTGCCTCCACCACCGCCGCCACCACGATCTCTTTCACGATCATCTCCACCACGATTACTACGATCTCTATCACGATCCCTTTCACGATCTCGTTCACGATCACGTTCTCTTAAAGAATCTCTTTCACGTTTGCTGTCTCTTAGATCACGATCTCTGTCACGATCACGTTCTCGTTCACGGTCGCGGTCATCGGAGCCAGAACGTTTATCGCCACTACTGCCGGAAGAACAGAGCTTGGCTCCGCTACCACTGCCACCACTGGCGCCACCACGTCTATCAATCCTGTCATGATTAGTGCGATGGGATTCAGAATCACGATCACCACCTCGACGATCGCGTTTGTCTAAACGAAATCAACATTTCTTTATAACATATCCTTAATGATTCCTTTCTATTCCATAACAACTTACCTGAATATTTATCCTTTTTATAAATATCGCGTTCGCGATCTCTCATTTTTTGTATGTAACTGAAACGATCGCCACCACCTCGATGATCACCACGATCTCTAATATCGTGTGAACCACCGTGACCTCTGGATGATGGTGAATCTATTTCAGGTGACTGTGAACGATACGATGAACTATTACCATTATTTAATGGTCCACCACCGCCAGCCGGGGAAAGGTCGCGTTCGCGATAATTCGATGAGCGATCACGTTCATAATCTCGTTTTGAACTGTACTTGGAACTCTAAAATTGCAACAAAAAAGATAACAATAGCATATTAAATGTTTTATATCTAAAAAAAAAACATTTAGAGAAAAATGTAAAACTTGAAAACAGAAAAATACATAATTAAAAATGTTTCACAAATATTTTCATCAAACTAAATGAGTAAATCATTGTTAATCATGTATTTTGTATTATTAGAGAAAAAGAAGCATTATTTTTAATTTAGAGCCAATGTGTTTTTAAATAAAATGAATTTTAATCAATGAAGACTAATGTTTTAAAACTAAATAAGAAAATTGTTGTTCGTTTAATAAAAACAGGAGACAAACATATGAAATTATGATAGTGCCAAAGAGATGCAAATATTTTTATTGATTTTTTTGTATATATTTAACAACAAACAACATGTTTGTGACCGAAAGAATTTGGAAAATAATTAAAAGAAAATATAAACATTTTCGTAATTTTTATTATTTTTAATTTTTGTAGGCAAACATAAAACAAAACAACAGAACATTAATAATAAAAATTAATTTTGTAAGCAGTGTAAAAGGTATCGTTTTTTTAATATTTTTATTTATTTTTTTTAAACTTATTTGATCCTCTAACGACCACTACTTACATCTACGATGCGACACAGTCCGACAGCAGCAGCATTTTTATTACACTCAGCTGCCAGTGTTGTTGTGATATCAAGTGCAATGCTATTTGTGGCAGACATAAACTGTACGGGAGTGGGTTTTCGAGGCACCCGCTCGTTTTTAGAATTTGTGTCTTTTTCTTTCGTTTGTTATTTAGTTGATGGGGCGCTTCGTATTTGTTATCTTTGGTTAATTTTGGTTAGTTCGAGTAGTAGTGTTTGTTTAACTTTGATGAAATGATGACATTTTTTTTTTTACAACAATACAATAAACAAAACTTTTGATGACTACAAACAACAACAAACAACAAATGAAGTGATTGCTATTAGGAGCTAGGAGTAGGAGCAGTTGCAGTATGCTTTTGGTTTTATCCTAATTCAGCCTGTTTGTCTTTTGATTGAATTTAAAATGTTTAATTTTAAACAGTTTTCTTTTTTTTTAAGTTCTTATAATTTGTATTTAGAAATAAACGAATACATAAAATTTGCACATTTATACAAAAATTTAAAAATACAAATATAAAAATTAAATTTAATTGAGAAAAATAAAGAATTTAATTAGTAATAGAATAAAATTAAAGTATATTTAATTGATTGTATTTAATATGATTTCAGAAAACTTTGGTTTTTCATTATTAAAAATACTTTATTTTATTATGAATTAAATAATTTTTATGTTTTTTGATTGCTCTAAGAAAATGATGATTTTGTTATAAAATTAAAACAGAAATGCTTTTTTCATTCAAACACAGACTAAAAACAAAAATTAATTCCCAACAATTTCAAATTCAACTCACCTGATACGAATGAGATTGATGCTTCTCAAAGTAGCTGAAATAATAGATAGAGATATGTTACATGAATTCATTTGAAAAATTTAATATATATTTTTGGAAAATAATAAACATTATTTTAAAACTTTTCCAATTTGGTAGAATTAAAAGAAATTTTAAAGAATATTAATATTTTATTGTTGTCATAATCTGCACTAAGATTTATAATCACCAGTTCTCAGGATACATTGACGCAGTTATTTAAAATTAATAGCTAACAATATAACTTATTTGTAATAAAAACTGTTAATTTCGTTTTCAAATATTATAAAAGATCACAATACATTTTTAAAAAGATAAAGATATAAAAAATGTAAACTTGGAAATATCATCAGAACTTTTTCTAAAATCTGTAGTTTTAAAATCAAATCAAAATCAGAATCTTTTAGAATCATAGTTAACATTGTTAGAATCACTAAAGAAGAATACTGTAATTCTAAAGTACATTTATGTTAAAGAATTGAATAATTGTTGAAATTCAAATGGATAAAAAATATTAAATAAACAATTTAAAAGCTTTGTTTTTTTTATATGAAATTGAATTGTATTAGAAGAACAAACAATACATAATCCTTTATACTTGATACCTTGTTAGTTAACTAAGTAAACTATCGATAGATATAAAATCATAGATCTTGCATTGACAACCTGTTAATTTACAGAGTAAATTATCGTTAGATTTTTAATCAGTCCATACTCAGAGATACTCTCGATTGTATAAACATTTTATGTATATAACTGAAACGGTTCCAACCAAAATGAACCACATTGACTTCTGGATGATGAGGAATACATTTTAGGTTATTGTAAACAATAGGATGTCTTATAATCTTAACTTATTTCCACCAGGGCCAGACTGTAAAGGGTCACGATAAATATATACAGTTTTAAATCAAACTGACACTCCGACTTAAGATATGATCTTTTTTGAAGTCATGGATAAACATCTCAGAAGTATAATTTAGTTTTGTCAACAATAAGTACTGCCTGGGCTATTCATATCAATTTTCAACATAATTGTATTCTAAATTACTTAACAGTATCATTAAGAGATTCTCGATTTTGAGTGAAATAAAAAGGAGTTTATTTACGTTACTTATGATTAAAGGGAACAATATTGCTGGGGTGTGTATTGTAGTATTAGACCTTTTGCGTATGATTAATATTTGAAAGTATGTAATAAAATGTAACTGAAACGTTTCTTCTGTTTGATGGCGAATCTATTTTAGTATATTGTGAAGAATAGGATGTCATATTATCTTATTTTATTCACCAAGGCCAGCCTGTAAAGGGTGAATATCGTGATAAATATAGACAGTTTTAAATTATCCGTCGTAAGATGTGCTATTTTATGAAGTCATATGCCTTTAGATGACTAATGTATTATTAAAAGGAACAACATATTGCTTGGTTGTGTATTGTAGTATTTAGTTCATTTGTGTATGATTTTATTATCATTTCAAATTTTACCTTTAACCATTAGTCAAATAGCCAGCGTACAGTGCTATTTCTGTACCTTTTTAGTGAAAAATTCTGATACAAACAATTAGTACAATGTGGAAGACAGTAAGGCAGCCTTAAGTAGGCCAGCGTTTCTTTAATCTAATTACAATTGCTAAACCTATAATCTTAGTCAAAACTGTGGACAATCAAAACGATCCTATAGTTGTTCTTATAAGTTATCGCTGCTTTTTCTGATGGTGCTGAGAATTTTCATATTCACAGACGGCCCTCGGTTCGATTCAACATCGAGGTTCATTTCGGATTGCAAATACATGCTAATTAGTGGCCTAATTGGACCGTCTTTATTGATCATATTGAAAAGGCTATTACGACTTAATACTTGAATAATCGAATCTATAAAGAATTTTTTCGCATTTGGCAGAGATACGACTCGAAATTAAAAAGGTTACTGATACATTTCTAAAACAATACTTAAAATCTATAGGTACCTTACTCCAAAACTAGGTATAGTATGGAACCCGTTTGGACCCAAATGAGCTATTCTACGAGGTTAACCTAATATAACCTAGGTGCATAACCTAACATAACCTAGGTGCATATGTCACAAAGAACTCAAGTTATATAGTAGTTGGAAATATTGTTTAGGTTTCAAAAAGCAATGAATGAACTATGAACTTTGTCACTAAATACTTAAGTACATTTATCATATCTAAATTATTAGATTCTTCTAAAGATACTACTTGTTGTCTACGTTTTTCTTAAAAACAAATTTAAATCATTTCCTAATCCCTCCCACAAATTACAAAGAGTTAAGCTCTTTACACAAAAGATCAGAAAACTAATGAAGACATAGTACAAATAAATTAAATTCTATTTCCTTACTGGTACTGTTTACAAAACTATTCACGAGGTTTAATTGATAAAAAATAGAGAACACAGAAAAGAAAAATAATTATTTACCGCATTTTGAAAAGGAAATGAGAGCGAACAGCAGCTACCAGCAAAAACTAATAAACAATTAGAAAATGTTTATTAAGAATAGAAACGTCGTTGTGGATGCAGACTGCATAAGATGACGATAATGATGAATTTAGTATTTATGCCGACGACAGCTCTGGTGTGTGTGGAAGCAGTTGAAGAGATTTTTGTACGAAGGTGGCAGGCAGTAGCAAAATTTAATAAAAACATAAAATTGAAATCATGTACGAAACGGTGTGTGGTGCGGCGGGCAGCACAAAGGCAGAAGTAATCAAATACAAATTGTATGTATAGAGCTATACACAGACTCCACATACACAAGTGGAGGAGACACAGGAAAATGAAAAATAATATTTCAAACAGAGAAAAAAAATCACGAAATATGTATTATGGGGAAACCTCACAGTAGATACAAGTGAATTGCTGCAGCAGCAGCGAAAGAAGTTAATAATGATTATGCATACGAACGGAACTCATTAAAATGTAAATATTTTGCCTTTTCTGCTTATAAACACTACAAAATCACTAACTTCAGCATAAAACTTGTAATTTTCTTATTAATTTTTTCAAATTTCTTTAAATAATTTTGCTACACTACTTTAATTTTTTACTGCTTCTTATTGAGTTTTTTCTTTTTTGTGTTTTCCACCTAGTTGACAGCTCTGCTGCAGAGCTGCTTAAAGGTGGTGTGTATAAAAAGAAAAGAAATGACAGCGCTAGTTTGAGGTGAAATAATAAAAACAAAGCAAAACTGTAAAAAATGCTAGTTAAATGAAGGAAAAAAGAGAAAAATGCCGTATATATAAACTGAAGTCTAAAAAAAAACTTAAAATCATAAAATTTATTTACCCATCGTTCATGCGTTGCGGTTTTCTAGCATGCATTACCATCAATGCAAAGTTTACGCCACAATTTCCTTTCCTTTTTACGTTGTTGTATTCCGTCTAATTGAATATCCAAATTTTCAGACAAGTTTTTAATTTAATGCAATTGTTTCCTTTTGAGATTTGCAAAATTTCTTAATAGGCCCTGGTGCGATTGAATATTGTAATTAGGGTGGCCGAGTGCCGCCCTTTTCCCGTTGACGTTCCGCTGAGGCCCCTTGGAAATTTTCTGTTTGCAACTTTTCTATTAATCTTTGAATATTTTTTTCGGAATTTAATTAAATTCTTCTTCTTTTCAACGAAGGTTAATAGCAGCTACACCTTCTTTTCTTGTCATTCCTCAGCCGAGAAAAAGTATAAACTTTAGACGGCTGTGGAATACTGGAACGTGTTTTCTCCTCTACACTCGTCGTAAAGCGCTGTGAACTGATTTTCACGTCAATTGATTTTGATGTCAAAGACAGAAAGAAAAAAATTATTCAAAGATTTATTTATTTCTTATGCAGTGGGCCTCAAAATGTGCAAGCAAATAATGCGACAGACAATAAAAAAGAATTTGCGTTAATTATTAACAATTAATTACAAATTTTAAATGGTTAAAAATTCGAGTAAAATTTAAGAATTAAAATTAGAATATATTTTTGCTGTCGCCTCTACACTTGATGAAAAAAAATTTTTTCCTCTTTGCTTGTTTTTCTTTTATCTTGTCTTTCATGTACCGTGGTGAATATAGCAACTACGTGACGCCATTTTGAGGCGTTGCTACACCGTAGAAATGCCACTCTGCACTTAACAGGGTTGTATTCTTGTATGCCGTGACGTGCCTAATTCGAGTCGCTGCTTTTACTTCAAACACTTTGTGTTTGTAGCAAACACAAGATACGAAAAATACATTGCTGTTTGACAAGCCAGAGTTTCCTAGGTCGTCAAACAAATGTATTTTAAATGGGACATCAAACAAAATCTGGCCTAGGCGGGTGGTGGTCGGTCGGCTAGTGGTGACATGGTATATTATCACCTAGAAGCAATGGACGGACGCTGATTGCCGTATCCAGAGGTTACCACAAGGATACATACTTATTATTATTCCATTGATCTAGGCGGAATCGCTACCATACATCCATAATAGAGCGCGACTTCCCGGACTTAGAGGATATAACTTGGTTAGGTCGTCGTCTAATGTAAATGTTGTTTGGGCAAAATATTGATACTAACCATTGTGGGCTTTAGTCGACTTTAGATCCCTTATAATTATCGCACTATACCCAATAAGCATTGTTGCTAGAATTAAAGTTTAAAAGAAGTTTAATTCCAGTCAAACATTAAAATTTGAAATACACTTTCATTACACTTTAATTCAATAGCATTCTCCAGTGAAAAGGAAACTTGAATTCAAGTCGAACATTACAATGTTTTTACAGTATAATTCAAGGCACGAAATCTATATATAGGTATATATATATAAAATTCTCATCCTCCTCATATCTCCTAAACTAGAAAAGATACAAAAACAGTTTAAAGCTTATCGTCGTTCATTTAAAAAATAAGCGGACAGGTGTCTGGTACTTTTCCAAATTCGGCCCCTTTAGGGAATAAACGGGTAAAAACTGTATTTTGGTACTTTTTTGCACCCCATGTATCTTTTAAACTAGTGAAGAACAGTGAATAACTTGACGAAAAAATAAAAATATGAATTTAGTACTTTTCGGATATTCGGACGTTTACGGGATGAAAATTGTACCTATTTTTGGTACTTTTTTCATAAAACTTTGTTTTTGGTTTATTAACTTATACATACATATGAATACATAATAACGGGCTCCTACTACGATGTTGCAACTTTTCGGAATTGAATTTTTGTTTCGTTAATGGGAGAAAAAAAATTACCAAAAGGGGTAAAATGAGGGGTGAAATTAGATTTTATTCAAACACATTGATCCAGTTTAGATAAATTTTCATATTTAGAAACACTAAATATGCTAATGGGGTGTTATTTGGAACCCCGTTACCAAGTGACATTTTTTGGTACTTTTTCATTCTCCAACTGGTACTTTTTGAATTATTTATAATATTGAACCTAGTAACATGAAATTAAGCATGTGGAGCCCGGAGTTAATGAGAATCTATAAAAGGGCGCCCTTTGGTAATTTTTCGATCTCAAATGGTACTTTTTGAGTTTTCTATTATAATGTAGGTTCATTATAATAGAAAACATAAAACTAAGCAATCAGGGACTTGAGGGAATAAAAATTTAAACTGGAGTATTTTCTGGTACTTTTTCGTTCTTTAACTGGTACTTTTTGAATTTTCTATAATATTGAAGTTAGGAACATGAAATAAAATAGGTATTTTGGTACTTTTTCGTACTTTAACTGGTACTTTTTGAGTTTTCTAAAATATTGAATATAAAACATAAAATTAAACACGCATAAAAACATAAAATTGAACGAAAATTTAAAAATTATACTTTCTGTTACTTTTTTGTTATTTTACTAATATTTTCAGTATTTTCTATAATAGTAGTAATTGCATTCAAATTAACATTCAAATCTCGTTTAAATTAGATTTCGATCGAAATGTAGTTTATTTTACTGGATTTTCCATACAAAACAAAATCAAAAATTTATAATGAGATTTTTTATATAAACCTACTTAAATTGTACTGGACTTTATATTATAAAGTTTATAATACAATTCTGTATTTTATTCGGTGAGTCAGTAAAATGCAACTATGAACTATGAGCTATTGAATGTAAACAAAAAATCAAGGTGTACTCATAAGGTTAAGTCAATTCAACAGCTGATTGTTATTTTTTATGAAAGTTGCATACAACTGTCAAATTGTAGCAAATTCACAAATATATGTATTTTAAAAAGTTGTAATATGTATATATGTATATTGTTTTATGTAAAGAAATTTTGGGCATGTGGGATTTTCTTTATTTTCGGTATATATTAAAAAGGCCACTATGGCAACATATACACTTTTTGACATAAGTATACAACTTTTGTTTTGTAGAGTTGACTTACCTTATTATTCATTCCATCATGCAAAAACTATAAAATTAAATAAAACAATATTTCTTTAAATCTTTTCTTAAACTGTATTTTAAATTAATAATAAAAAACAATTTGTGTTGTAAAAATTATCAAAATGTTGATCTAAATTATTTTTTGGACTATTTTGAAATCGGATCAAAATGGGATATTAAAGAATTTTACAGATTTGAAAAATACATACGTACATATCTACACTTTTATTTGTTTTATAAAATCGTTACATTAAATGGAAAATCGCTCAGTAGTTAACATTGTTTTGCGCGCAAAGTTTAATTTACGATGAATTCTTTGTCGGAGTATGTAAAAAACTATTTAATTGTTACAAACTCATCGGATTATTTACCACATCTATACAAGGTAACATTTAAATATAATTTCTTGGATTTATTAACAATTTGCTTTTATACTATTTCAGTTGTGCTTGGAAAAAGCTAAAAATGGTCGGCTGATTGTAATCATCACTTCACAGTTGTATGACTTTTCCAATTTATTGCTAGAACTAGATATTAACAAAGATCTACTGAAAAACTTAATTATAATGTAAGTTGTTCGGTTTAAACCAGCATTTATTATAAAGGTACATATTAATTTTTCAGGTATTACCAAACAATTGATGAGATTTCTCGCAAATTATTGCTACTGCACAGTTGGTCTCTATTGCCATCTTTGGTTGCGGTCGATTTGTCGCAATTATTAATTGCACAATCTGCTGCTAGTCTTTCTCCCGCTTCCATTATGCAAAAGGTAACCCTTTGTACCGTCTCCTTGTTGACATATTTGCAGTCCGTAGCTGCGCAATTGCCCAAATGTTTGGATGATGGGACCCTTTTGCGTAGCATTACAGGTTTGTTGATTTTACGCTCGGATGTGGAAAATTTTGGTAATACTCAAATACAGACCTTGAAAGATCTGTATTTTTATAAAACGGAAATGTTTCAAGATTTTGCTGATGTCGCCTACAAAATTGAGGAGAATTGGTGAAATAAAAGGTAATTTATTTTCAATATTTATTTAGAATAGAAATTTAACAGCCTGCATTTGTGTGACCAAACAATTCTTGCCGATTTTTTTGGAATACAAACAAAGCAGCATACATTTTTTAAAACATATTAAATTCCACAACTATTTGTGTGTGGAACCACAGTTATTTTTACAAGCCCGATATGTGTATTCACCGTACGGCTATATATACCCATCTTGTTATTAAGTGCTAATATCCAACAGAACCATCCAATACTTTGTACTATTAATTAAATTTTGTTTTCAATAAATCAAATTGCACATAACCAAAATAAAATGTTAATGAACTTAACAGTTAATATTATTAACATTATTATAACATATAGTTATTTCTATGTAGAAATGTAATATCAGTAAAAACGGGACATAATACAATGGAATGACTTATACCAACTGCAAACTCCAAGCGATCATAAATAAAGAAAATTTTCCAGAAATAAAAGTATGTATTTTTCGTATGATCATAAATAGTAAACAAGCGTTTATTTACGAAGATATCGACGATTAAAGATTTTCATATAAAAAAATCTATTTTTGGTCAGAAATATTAGTCGTTACGAATGGAGTTCCTTTTTCCCAAAAAAATAGATGTATAAGATATTGATAATTAAAGATTTTCATAAATCAATTTTTGGTCAGAAATATAAGTGATCAAGAATGCCCATTTTTCCCAAAACACGATTAATAACGGAGATATGGATAATTAACGATTTTCATATAAAAACTGAATTTTTGATCAGAATTATATGTGATCACGAATGAAGCTCCCTTTTCCCAAAAGACGTATATTTACGAAGATATCGATGATTAAAGATTTTCATATAAGAAATCAATATTTGGTCAGAAATATGAGTGATCACGAATAAAGCTCCTTTTTCCCAAAAAAAAAAAAAATATTATTTACGAAGATATCGACAACTAAAGATTTTCATATAAAAAATCTATTTTTGGCCAGAAATATGATTGATCACGAATGGAGCTTCTTTTTCCCAAAAAACGTGATCCCAAATGAAACTCCTTTTTCCCAACAAACGTTTATTTACGAAGATATTGACAATTAAAGATTTTCATATAAAAAAAATCAATAGAAATATGAGTGTTCACAAATGAATTCCTTTTCGCTAAAAAACGGTTATTTACAAAGATATCGATGATTAAAGATTTTTATATAAAAAATCATTTTTTGGTCAGAAATATAAGTGATAACGAATGGAGCTCCTTTTTCCCAAAAATCGATTAAGAACGAAGATATCGACAATTAAAGATTTTTATAAAAAAAATCAAATTTTTGTCAGAAATATGAGTGATCACGAATGGAGCTCCTTTTTCCTAAAAAAACGATTAAGAACAAAGATATCGACAATTAAAGATTTTTATATTAAAATCAATTTTTGGGCAGAAATTTTCCAAAAAACGATTAATAACGATGATATGGATGATTAAAGATTTTTATATAAAAAATCAATTTTTGGTCAGAAATATAAGCGATTACGAATGGAGCTCCTTTTTCCCAAAAACGTTTATTTACGATGATATCGATGATTAAGGTCAGAAATATAAGTGATCACGAATGTAGCTCTCTTTTCCCGAAAAAAAGGTTATTTACAAAGATATCGACAATTAAAGATTTTCATATAAAAATCAATTTTTTGCCAGAATTATGAGTGATCACGAATAAAGCTTCTTTTTCCCAAAAAACGTTTATTTACAAAGATATCGACTATTAAAGATTTTCATATAAAAAATCAATTTTTGGGCAGAGATATAAGTGATCACGAATGGAGCTTCTTTTTCCCAAAAAACGTGTATTTACGAAGATATCGACAATTAAAGATTTTCATATAAAAAATCAATTTTTTGCCAGAATTATGAGTGATCACGAATGGAGCTTCTTTTTCCCAAAAAACGTTTATTTACAAAGATATCGACAATTAAAGATTTTTATATAACAAATCAATTTTTGGGCAGAAATATGAGTGAATACGAATGGAGCTTCTTTTTCCCAAAAACGTGTATTTACGAAGATATCGACAATTAAAGATTTTCATATAAAAACTGAGTTTTTGGTCAGAAATATAAGTGATCACGAATGGAGCTCCTTTTTACCAAAAAACGTTTATTTACGAAGATATCAACATTTAAAGATTTTCATATAAAAAAATCAATTTTTGGCCAGACATATGAGTGATCACGAATGGGGCTTCTTTTTCCCAAAAAACGTGAATTTACGAAGATATCGACAATTAAAGATTTTCACGTAAAAAGTCAATTTTTGGTCAGAAATATGAGTGATCACGAATGGAGCTCCTTTTTCCCAAAAAAACGATTAATAACGAAGATATCGATAATTAAAGATGTTCATATAAAAAAACAATTTTTGGTATTTGTATTTACGAAGATATCGACAATTAAAGATTTTCATATAAAAAATCAATTTTTTGTCAGAAATATGAGTGATCACGAATTCAGCTCCTTTTTCCCAAAAAATGATTATTTACGAAGATATTGACAATTAAAGACTTTCATATAAAAAAATCAATATTTGGTCATCGAAGATATCGACAATCAAAGATTTTCATTTAAAAAATCAATTTTTGGTCAGAAATATGAGTGATCACGAATGGAGCTCCTTTTTCCCAAAAAACGATTAATAACGAAGATATCGATAATTAAAGATTTTCATATAAAAAAACAATTTTTGGTCAGAAATATGAGTGATCACGAATGGAGCTCCTTTTTCCCAAAAAACGTTTATTTACGAAGATAAACTGAATTTTTGGTCAGAAATATAAGTGATCGCAAATGGAGCTCCTTCTCAACAAACGTTTATTAACGAAGATATTGACAATTAAAGATTTTAATATAAAAAATCAATATTTGGTCAGAAATATGAGTGATCACGAATGGAGCTCCTCTTTCCCAAAAAACGTTTATTTACAAAGATTTCAACCATTAAAGATTTTCATATAAAAAATATAAATTGTTTGTCAGCAATGTGAGTGATCATTAATCGTGCTCCCTTTTCCCAAAAAATGCTTAGTTATCAACCGACCATTAAGAATATTCCTCAGAACAATCGAATTTTTTTGACAAAGAAGTATAGTTAATGTTGTAAAAATTGTGTTAGCTTTAAGGACTTAATATTTCCTTTACATGCAGTGTTGTGTTCTAAAAATTTTATAATTTTAACCTAATTTTTTTTGTATAAAACAAAACTCTTGGGAGGCATACGTACACAAAACAGCCACTGGAGCGTATGAGTTATTTCAAATTCAAACAGACAACAAAGCGTATAAGTAATTTGAAAGCCTAAATATAAAAGTACATGAAAAAAAGCTTTTAAGCTCTATTAATAACAAAAAGAGCTTTCAACAATAGTTAAAAGTAAAAAATAAAATCTCTTCTATTGTATATGTTCTTTAAAATGTGGTGATTCTCTTTTGTGTGTTATTCTGTTTTGTTGTCCTTTGTCTGCAGGGATTTTTTGTTATTTTCTTCTGTCCTACTTTTTCCACTTCAAGTAATTGTTGTTTTGCAGACATGTGCTGTTATGTTTTGGTTTGCATTCCAAAGGAGTTAAAAACAGAAATACAAAACGAAAACACAAGAAAAACAGAAGAGGAAAAAGACTGACACAAAAACACAGCATAACAAAATATTGCCAACAAGTAGCAGTAGTAGTTACCATTCAACTACGACAGCGAACGTTTGCTGTTAAAAAACAACAAATACAAAGTGATATCTGTGCGTAGAGACGAACGAATCAGTCAGTCATCATTATACCGGATTAATAGAGTTATGAAAAATATACGTACGGTATTTTTAAAGTGAAGTGCAGTGCAGTGTGGATGAAAAACAGCTCATCCAGCGCCATCATCATAATCAAATATTCATGAAATTAACAAAGTAAAAAAGTGAGAATGTTCAAGCAAATGCAACAATTTTGTTTGCTACTAAAATAGTTAAAAACAAAAACATTAACAAAGTGTATTTATTGTTGCTTATTCTACTTTGAGAGATCTAGTAATGTTGTGTTGTTGTGCTGCTAAGGGATTTTTTTTAAATTCTAGGAATTCTGGATTTTCTAACCAAAAATGCTTCTGTTTTTGAAATGTGTAACCCTTTGACATTTTATCAGCAGGTTAATTTATGCTTTGTTTAGTCTTATTTTAGAAATATGCTGATTTTTTAATATTTAAAATATACAAAATGTTATTTTTTTTTGGTTGGGATAAATGACACAGAACCATTTCAAAATGTCATTTATAAAAGAAAAATTGCAACTAAAAAGAAATATAAACAAAATTGAAATCTGATGAAAATTAGTTTTTATTTGGTAGAAAAAAAAACTTGTATTCAGTTTTATTTGGTTATTTATTCGCATACTAATTTCTCTCTCCTTATTTAGGTTGTGTTTTATATTTAAACAAGTTTTTAATTTAATTTTTCAATGTGGATTTTAAAAACAAATCAAAAATCTAATTTAAAACGTGATATTTTCACATTTTCATTAGAATTGTTATTTGCATTTTATTGTGTGTTTATAAAGTATTTTATTTAACAACAATATGTTAGCTTTAAATTAGATTTTGTTATACATCATTTAAATAAACTTAAAAATAACAAGATTATAATACTTGTCATTTCTAGCTTTTTAAGTTGTCTGTTAAAATGTGAAAGAAAACAGTTAAGTGAATATACATAAATACGTATATTTTAGCTCCTTTAACATTTTTTTAAGTTAAACAGTTTTGCAGAGTTATTAAATTAGGAAATTTTATACTAAAAATATTTAAATATTTCGGAAAAAATTATATAAATGGTTCTGAATTAACTCGTGCTAGAACGGGTGTAAACAGAATCACCTAAGATATTTGAAAAGCAATCATCTGGAACCCATCTGTGAAACACCATTGAGATGCTAAAGTGCTTTAAAAGAGTTTTCTTAGTTAGTTAGTTAGTTAGTTAGGAGGACGTATGTACATCAAATCTGAAGAAATACACCTCGGCCTCTATAGGGCCTGTTGTGTGCTCTTTAGCCAGTGCCTCAGGTGGGAATCGAATTCCAATACCTCCGGTCTAACAGACTAGAATTCTAACCACTAACCTACCGGACGCCACAAGTTTTAGAAAATTACTTTAACGTTAATAACGCTAGTATGCGATGAAATTCGATAAATATGTTTTTTAAAAAAGTTCATAAGAATCGGGCTATAACTGCTTCCACCCACATATGACGTCCCTTTTAGAAAATGA